AACACAAGAAAGCTATTTGTGTTTGCATTTTGAAAATTTTGGATCAAATTTTACACTTTTTTGTTTAAGTTGATTTTGTTCAGTGATGCAGGCAGCTTTTCTCTTTACGGTGGTGGGCACAACTGGGTTTTTGGGTGTTCTGGCTGGTCAGCTGCCTGGAGTAAGCTTCTATTATTCTCACTACTTTTAAGTGCTCTGCTCGTCATTTTTTTTTTCTGTGATTTACTTTTGTCCCATCAAGCTTATAATTGTCTTTGGTGTGGAAATTTCTACAACCGTTAGAAATGGAAATAGCTTTCCCTTCGGAACATTTATAAGATTTAACATCTGAGGCAAGGCAGTTAAGGGATTAAGAAATGTTTGAGTTAAGGGATTCAAAATGTTGGATACTGAGAATTTTATAAGAATCTAATCACTATATTGAATTTCGTCGTAGCTTGTTTACACGTAAATGTAAAAATGTAGAATAATGATATGGTTTTTACACCTAAACAAGAACTTAAGATCAAATCATTTGAAAAAACAAAAACTATGAGGAAGGAGAGTTTTTGAATAGCTAATTGTATCATCATGACTTAAGTTGGCTTGATTGGACTTTAGCTTTTTGTACACATGTAAGACAACGAGTCGAAATTAATCTTGTTGATATACACACAACTTTCCTGGTTTTCTCAGGATTGGGGCTTTTTTGTGCCATACTTGATCGGAAGTATCTCCTTAGTAGTCCTTGCTGTAGGGAGTATTTCCCCAGGGTAAGCGTTAAAAAAATATAAAAAAAGAAACATTCATCGAGAGAGTATTTTCAGTCACCATATAGAATGTGATTAAAGCTTGTTACTGGAGAAAAAGTAGTTTTGTTGGCTTAAAATGGCAACTTCTGCTATAATTTAAAGTACTCTAATGGGATTTGATGCTTTATATATTTTTACTTACTCTCTATATTGACTTTTACAAACAATAAGGGCCTTTTCAAATTATCATTCATAAAATCAAATTATATAGTTCAATGTATATTATGAAAAGTGTGTTCCAATATTTTTGAGATTTACTTTCCATTATATTCTTTTGCGTAGGCTGGCATACGAAAGCGAGCATGCTCGATTTTTGGGCAGATGCATTAGTTAGGAAAAAAAAAAGGAACTTGATAACAAAACAGAATGTTATAAGTGAAGCTGTTTTTTCCCATTTTACATAATCTGTAGGCTGCTTCAAGCTGCAATCGGTGGATTTTCCTCATTTTTTCCGGATTATCAGGAGAGAATTGCCGGACATGAAGCTGCTCATTTTTTAGGTATCGTTACATTCACGAATTCCATTATTTGGATGTTATTAAGAGATAGTAATCGTTTTGTGAAGTCATATTTCATTTATAGACTTTACTACATACAATTCTTTCCTCTCCAAAAAATTCTGCATTTATCAGTAGCTCTCATTTACTTACACATGTTTTCTTCTAGAGACAAACGGGAAATGTAGTTTTCCCTGCAAACCATTATGAACTTTTTTCCCAATCAGAGCCTAAGTTTCCTGTTTTTTTGTTTTCTAGTTGCTTACTTGCTCGGACTTCCTATACTCGGTTATTCATTGGATATTGGAAAGGAACACGTCAATCTCATCGATCAACGGCTTGAAAAGCTCATTTACAGTGGACAGCTTGATGCCAAGGAGCTCGACAGGTACATAATTTCTATTTCCCATTCAACTGATCACAAGAATGACAAGTTTTGAGCTTTAAAATCTGAATCCAATAAATTCTTATCGAGCAAAAATTGAATAAATTAAGATATAAAAAATATTTGTACTTCTCTCAGGTTGGCAGTTGTAGCAATGGCTGGACTGGCCGCGGAAGGCTTACAATATGATAAAGTTGTTGGTCAATCGGCCGATCTTTTTACTCTCCAGGTTTTTCTTTTCAATCCCATACATCGACACAAAAATAGTAAAAGAATATAAACAGAATATAACTTATTGGTTTTCAACAGAGATTCATAAACAGAAGTAAGCCACAGCTTAGCAAAGACCAGCAGCAAAACCTTACAAGATGGGCTGTGAGTTTCATTTGTGCATTCTCTGTAGCAACTTCATAAATCTTCCGAAATTAGTATTTTGATTATACGTCACACTAATAGCAGAATTCCTTTTTTCATCGAGACCCCTTTTCAGTAAATAAACGAACAAATGATTTTCCGAGTTTTATTTTCTGAATCGAGCCCTTTGGTTTGCAGGTGCTACTTGCCGCATCGTTAATAAAGAACAATAGGGCGCTTCACGAGGCACTCATGTCAGCAATGTCAAAGAAGGCTTCTGTGGTTGAATGCATAGAGGCAATAGAGAAGGCTGAGTAAATAACTAAATACACAAAGCCATGCTACATTTTTCTCTTTATTATTATTATTTTTATTTTTATTTTATTTATTTAAATTCTTGTCTATTTCCCCTCAATCTTGTTAGGAAAGAGTACAAGTAGATAACATATATATGAAAGCAGGGAGCAATTATTCTTTGTTAAAAATTATTCCACATAAGTTTTCTGTTCATGCTGCAATTCTTGCTATGTAAATTCTTATGTGATCTTCAAATATTCCCATAAAACACCGAAAAATCTTCCTTGTTGAGTGAACTACAATTTAACATGACCAAAATGACTCCTATAGAACAATACTAAGGTATAAGATATCACAATAGTAAAGTATGTATAATTATTGGAAGAGTATGACTGTCGAACTATTGGCCGTCTAGCAGAAGACCTATCGATACTTGTAAAATAAACACACACAAGACAACATCGATTATCTAAAGGTAACACAATACACAATTACCTTTTTCACCTCACGGCGACACTTCACAAGTTCTACACAACTTACCTATACATAGTATTTAAGCAAAACCCATTTTTGCATGATTTTAATGAGCTCTTTTCTTTTCCTTCTTTTAAATCAATCATTCGGACAGTCATTAATGTCGGTCTCGTAAAACAAGCCATCGACTATTTGGTCAACGAGTGCATCAATGAAGGTATTGCACCCGGTTGTGAAAATCGAGCCCACTTTTTTACGGTTGCTCGAGAACCAAGCAAAAGTGGCCGCACTAGCTATGGCTGCCAAGCATGCGCCTGCACCTTCTTCAAGTCCTTGCAAATCGAGCTTCCTGAAAACCGAGTTCCCTGTCACAATCTCCACTCCAACTGTTGCAGCAAATACAATCTGAAAAGTGCAAAATAAAAGCATAACCAAAAAGTTAGTAGTTGCAGAAAAAATAAAAAATAAAAAATAAGAGAACACGTTTGCATTAGAAAATCAGTTACATGAAGTCGTCGGCAGAATATAACTTCAACGACCAATGGAAAAATTCGCTTCGTGAAGGAACCATGGTCTATCGATAATGAGCCCTTTTAAAGATTGTGTAATACATGGATGAAGAATCACGAGACACAACATGAACTAATAAACATCTCAGGCAGCTCAACTACTAAAATCGACGCAACCCAGTTCGACACGGCCCATGTTCACAAAAGCCACACAACTTTGAATTAGAAACCAGCAAGATTAATATCAAGTTAAAGAGAGGAGCTTTAATTATAGGAAGCTATAAAATAACGATACAGAACAGAACAATACACTTGTTCCATGTTCCTAACTCAAGATTGTAACATTATTATTTTTGATAAGGATTAAGGTGCTTCATAAACAATGATTAAGAAGTACCAAGTCCTTAAAAAAAATCTGAAAATTTCGGTCCTTTTTATTCTTTCAACTCTCGATTAGTAACACACAAACCGAAATCAAGCATTCATTTACCGTGGCAAGCCGATCATATATTTATTTGTAATATATGGATGATTTACTGGATACTACATGAACTATAAGCATCTCAACAGCAAGACTACTAAAAACCGACCGATGCAGCCCGATTCGACATAACTCACGTTCGCGAAAGCCACACAACTTGCAACGATAAACACAAGATTATCAAGCTAAAGAGGGGACCTATAAAATAATAATACAGCACAATACAATTCTTCCATGTTTTTTAACTCAAGGTTTTAACATTTTTCTTCCCTGACAATAACGGTACTTCATAAACAA